CGTGCATAATATATGTATACATGATAAAAGTACCCCTTATAATAAAAATTATTAATAAATTTTAACAATTTGCCCAGCATGCAGGGCTAGTACTTTCCAGCAGAATTTTCTGATATGATGGATGTATTCCCCATCTGCACTGTCCAATACGATAGCTACTAGCCACATGTGGCCAGCGAACACTTGAAATGTGACAAGTGCAAACAAGGAACCGAATTTTTTATTTCATTTTATTTTTATTAAATTAAAGTAGTCACTGTGGGTAGTGGCTACCCTACTGGATACCACAGTATAGACAATAACATTTGCTGAATAAGTGAATAGGTGAATGAATAAAGATGTGAATTACATTTTAAGTCTGATGAAGTTGTTGTAGCACATCTTATATGGCACATGCTAGATAAATAGTTGGCCAAAACACACCTAACAAAAATTATTCTTAAAAACAGCTTTGCTGTGCATGTAAGGGGAAGCCAAGGGTTACATGGGAAACCTCTCTGTACTTTCTGCTCAATTTAGCTGTGAAACTACAACTGCTCTAAAAAATAAAGTCTAGGGGAGGGTATAGCTCAGTGGTAGAGTGTGTGCTTAGCATGCACGGGGTCCTGGGTTCAATTCCCAGTACCTCCATTTAAAAAATAAATACATGAGTAAATAAAAACCTTATTACCTCTCCCCTTAAAAAATAAAATTAAAAAAAATTTAAAAACATAAAGTCTGTTTTAGAAATATAAATCAAAAAACAGTTCTGTACTCTATCTTTACTGACAACTATCAATCTCTAAATTTACCTTTTCCTAAATTCTAGTTCTGTTGCAAACCTCCTGCTTTCTCCTTCCAGAAGCAATGTTGGTACATGTTTGCAATACAACTCTTTAGTTTTGGAACTAGTGAGGGAAAATCCCCATGCAGGCCTCTAAAATCCTGGGTCACATCACCTCAGAAGTGATATGCTAGGTTCCACCAATGACTGAAAAATATTCAAATTACAATATTTTTTTCAATATAAAATACTGATATAATTTTATCATGTGAATTAAGAACAATTTAAGTTGGAAAAATATACGACTATATTTAAATGTATGTAATGTAAAAATCATAGCCACAAGCACCTGTCCTAATTTCTTATAAACTGTTGAACTTATGTGTTTCCATCAATTCCTAATTATCTGCTTAATCATTTTATCATCAGCTAGTGTTTACCAGTGCCTAAGCAGTAACAGCTGCCCCAAAAAGAGAAATTCTGGAAGGAAAGTTTTAAAGGGAGATAATGTTGCCCATTATCTTTATTGTATATTTTCAGGGCAGAAAACAGATTTAGAGAACAGAAAAATCAAGATTATTTCAAATAATACTAATAAGGCTATCATCAGTGATGCATCAGGCAGTCCTAAATGCTTTTCTCTTTTAATCCAAACGAGAAGACTACAAGGCGAGCATTTTTACCTCCACTTTATATATAAAGAAAATGAGATTCCAGAATACAGCACCTGTCCAAGATCACTCAACTAGTAAATGACAGGCTAATTAGATCTAAAATCAATCCTCTTTCCTTTCTACCACAATACCTCCTCCCCAAATAAATATAATTGAACCGTAAAGCAACAATTCTCAACTTAGGCTGTATATTAAAATCACCTTGAGAAGGGGGCCACATTTTATTCATCTTTGTACCCTAGTGCCTAGCACAGTGTCATGCACACGGCAAGCTTTCAACAAATGTTGGCTTTGTAAATGACTCATAGAAGCTGCCATCAGCGAAGTTTAATGACACATGGTGCTTTGTGGCCATGTGCACATAATCTTTCTTTAAAGAACAAGGAGCTCTAGGCTGTATGGCTGCTGGCCGCTCAGCAGGAGCACAACAGAGTGTGAGGACTTCATTAAGGTCACTACAGAGGTACAGCCTGTCTGTTTCTTAGCTCTGTGGCTAACTTGTTTCAGTTAATTCAATGGAAGTATTTATTGGCTCAGGCCACTTGAGCACAGTAGTAGGCAAGAGCTATCAGATCACTCTACCTCCCACCCATCCCTCAAATGCATTTACTTCTCTCCATCATCATTGCTGTCATCCAACTTTGGGCCACCATTATCTCTCAACTAGAGTATTCCAATTCATTCTCCACAATGTCACCAAAGTGAGGTTTCTTTAAAAAGCAATTCTGACCATGACACTTTTTAAAGCCTTTCAAAGCCTTCCCTCTGCCCTTAAGATAATGTCTAAACCCTCCCAAATGGCTTAACAGGCCCGGCCTGATCCACCTCTCCTGCTGTATATCTCACCACTCGCTGCCTGTATTTACTCTAGCTATATTAACCTACATGGTCTAATTCTATAATTCTATAATTAGACCATGTTATGTTCCAGTGGGAAACTGTGCTCAGGTGTGTCCAGAAAATCTCAATAAGCATTTAAAAAATTCAGATTATGGATTTAGTTTTCCAAAGCTAATGGGCTTTTCTCTCTCTCTCCCTCTCTTTTTTTGGTTAACAGGCTACTTAAGACCAATTGTTGACAACTACAGTCATCTAAATTAAGTGTTTCCTCTTCAGAAAGGAAGAGAGAAAAATACAAAGGTATACTGCTGCTAGAGAAGGAAAGCTTAAAAACACAAACTTCTTAAGAAAAGGCACCAAAGTTTCCACATCCTGATTCCTATTATCTCTCAGCACACAGTGCCTGCTCAGTAAATTTTGTCAAATGAATGAATGAATGAATGATGAGCAAAATGAATAGGAAATGAGAAATTCTGGGGACAGAAAAACCCAGAAATAATAAAGAGAGGAGGCATGCATCCCAACTCTGACCAAAAAAGATTCAAAGAAAAGGTTGCTAGAGGTTTCCAGGGTCTTCATCTTTCTAAGAGACCACGGAAGACCCGTTTCTGTCCCACAGAACATGAGTGAGGATGCATGTGGCCCTGGCTGCTACTGGCTGCTACTATGCAAACATCTAGTGAGCTGACAATGTGGGCAACTGAAACAGGCTCCCAATCTGACAGCCAGTGTTGAACTTGTGGTCCTCCTACCCCTGGACTTCTCATTATGTGAGCCAATAAACTTTCTTATTACTTAAGTCAGTCTGACTATTATTTGCTGCCCAAAGCCTCCTAACTGACACTTTCTGGGAAGCAACGAAGAGAAAATCATGTTGAAGATGATGAATACAATATGTCATCATTTTATTTTGTAGCCAAATCAGAAACTAATCTAAAAAAAAAAAAAGCAAAATGAATCACTGTTACAAAGGACTATAGACTTTCTATGTAACTGGTAAGGCTATATTAAATAATTCAAATGTATTTTCCATAAAAAAAAGTACTTAGCTCTCACTGAACTAACTCTACAGAAGAAAATTAGACTCTACAGAAGAAAATTCTAATGAACTGGAAGGCACAGCAATATAAAATACCCAGAAAAAAAGAGACAGAAAAGGCTGACAAAAAAATGAATACAGCATCAGTGAGCTGTGAGAAAATGTCACATGGTTAAATACGTGTCACTGGAGACACCAAAGGAGAAGTACGAGAGGACAGAAAAATATCTGAAGAAATAATGGTTACAAATTTTTCAAATTTGATTAAAAACTATAAATCCACAGATCCTAAAATCAACAAATCACAAACATAAGAATCATTAAGAAAATTACACCAAGGTACATCATAATCAAATTGTTTAAAACCAGTGATGAAGAGAAAATCTTAAAAGCAGCCAGAGGAAGACATATTATGTACAGAAAACAAACAAATGACAACAGATTTCTCCTAAGAAAGAACTCAAGCCAGAAGACAGTGAAGCAACAGTTTCAAAGTAATGAAAGAAAAAAAAAAGATCAACCTAGAGTTCTACATTCAGTAAATATTTCTTTTAAAGGGAAAGTAAAATAAGGACTTTTCCAGTCTTATAAAAGTAGAAAGAATTCACCAACCACAGATTCACATTACTAGAAATGTTAAAGGAAGTTCTTTAGGCAAAAGGAAAATGATACCAGACAGAAATATGAATCTACAAAAAGGAATTCAGAGGCCTGGAAATGGTAAACATACAAGCTTTTTAAAAATTTTTTAAATCTCTTTAAAAAAATAATTGAACATTTAAAGGAAAAACAGTAACATCTGAGGGAGCTTATAACATATTTAGAACCAGTATTATAACAATAGCACCAAGGTCAAGGGGAAAGGGAAGAAAGAAAGCGTACTGTTGTTAGGTTCTTAGACTACGTGTGAAGAGGGATGATATTCCTTGACGGCAGACTATGATAAGTTGACGATGCATACTATAAATCCTAACCCTTAAAGCAACCACTGGAAAAAAAAGTTATATCTAATAAGTCAACAAAGGAGGCAAAAATGGAATCACAAAAAATGTACTCAGTCCAAAAGAGGAAAGATAAACAAAGAACAGATGTGACAAGCAGAAAAACAGCAAGACAGATGGATATTTAAACATAATTGATAATCATATTAAACGTAAATAGTCCGAACAGCCTAATAAAATGCAGACATTGTCAGACTGGGTAAAAAGCAAGATTCAACTAAACTCTGCCTACAAGAAGCCCACTTTAAATATAAAAAGACACGAATAGGCTAAAACTAAAAGGGTGGAAAAACATCTACCATGCTAACACTAATCACAAGAAAGTTGAAGTTGCTATATTAATATCAGACTAGTAGATTTCAGAGCAAAGAATATAATCAAGGATAGAGTGATTCAATAATGATGAAAGAGTCAATTCATCAAGAGTACATAACAATCCTAAACATTTAGTCAGTGCACCAAAACAAGAAAATAAAAAGATTCCTTTCATGGTTAAAATGCAACACCAGCATTCCTGAATCAAATCTGAATATTGATCCTCTTTATGTAATAAGTGGCATGCAGTTATACTAATAAAAGTGCAGTATTGCCCCAAAAGAGTCAAAAGTAGTAGTGTGTTAAACAGCTTATCAAAACATGACTTCAATGCCAAAACTGATGAAACCAATACAGAGCTGACTCACCTTTCATATTGCCTATCTTGTGGTAATGAAGCACCCCAATGTCGAAAGTCCATGATTAACATAAGTAAAAGGAGACAGGATATCAAAAAGAGTCCTAGGAATGCCACCCGCTGACGGGGAAATGGGCTCACTGTGGGCACAGTGAAGTACCAGGAGGCTGGGCAGAGGTAGGAAAAACTGATCCTGAAATGAGACAAACATTAGTAAGAAAAGTATCTACAACTGAGTGCTAAAAAATGGTTTTTAAATGGGATTAAAGCCCTTCCTAATAAAGGCAAAAACCCTTGCAACCAGAAGTCTAAATGTTCGTTTAGTCTCAAATTTTATAAAAGGACCCATGTGATTCATGGTGTTTCAACTATATAAATTTTTAAAAAGCCTCATCTGAGGTAGGAAGGGTATGGCTCAGTTGTAGATTGTGTGCTTAGCATGCATCAGGTCCTGAGTTCAATCACAGTACGTCCATTAAGAAAATAATAATAAATACATAAATAAACCTAATTACCACCCCTCCCCACAAAAAACAAGGATAAAATACTGGGCTTAAAAAAAAAAGTCTTATCTGCTCTTTTCCCAAAGTCTGCACTTTGGGGCACAATTCAAAGAACTAATCTCATATTAATGAAAAGGTCACCAGTCTCCCTGTACAATCTCATAACATTGAGGAATCAGAGCAACTACAACATTCCCACCAAGAATGCTGGAAAAAAAAAAACTGGCTAGTCAGAAAACTTATTCAACTGATTTTTAAAAAATATTTTAATAGATAACATATGCATACAGTAAAAAGAAAAATCAAACAATCTAAAGGATATATAGTGGAAAGTGAGTCTTGTGCCCTAACCCTATCATTTCCCTCTCAGAGGCAACCATTGGTTCCCAATTTCTGTGTTTTTTCCAGGGATATTCTATGTATACACAGCATAAATAAATATCACATATGGTAATATATCTGTGTGTGTGTGTGTCTCCATCCTTTTGGTTTTACACCATACCTACTGTTCTGCATCTTTCACTTACTCTACTTGACAACAACTGTCTCATTTGGTACATGTTGATCCACAGATTCACATTAATCTTTTCTGAAAGTCTGAGAGTATTATAACATATGGATAAGCATATTTAACTGTGCAGTTCACTTTCCATATTGATTCATAAGGATCTCAGTCTGTATTCAAAGTTCATTAGAAAAAATTTTTTTCTTCGTTTAATCTCAAGGGGCACCTAGCCTCACCCAAATGGTAATTTGAAAGAACATTACAATCTAGCACTTCCCAGAGCTGAGCTAGCACTCTTATCTATCACCCGTGGCTATGGGCTATAAACCACTGCATCTGACTTTTAATGCAACTTTGATCTTCTTTGAATCCAACTGACCAGGCTGCAAAGTCCAGATGTAGTCCTAGAAAAAAACCTCACTTGTAACAACCTCACAAGGCCCCTCAACCTGCCTGCCACTCTCCCAATTAACCCCCCGCTGAGGATAAAGTGTACAACCTTACCTAGCCATGGGTTCCCTTCAGTGGTCTCAGTGCCTGTCACCTCCTTTTCCTTTTGCCCTGAGAAGGTGGTCTCCTTGTCCCAGGCATCTCCTAAGTCTGCAGCCTGTAAAGAGTTGGGTGAGTTTCAGGCTCACCACCAGCAGTGCCCACGAGACTAGACCCCTCACATCATGCGAAGCCTACGGCGCCACCCACTCCGGGACCCCTCCAGATCCATCCGTTCTAATTCCTGGGGCCCAGTGAACCCCACCCGGACTCCCCGGGAGCCGGACGTTCTAGAGGGCCAGTGGCATCCTCGAGAAACTCGCCGTCAGAGGTGGTGGGGATGGGGGTCCCTGCTTTCCCTCCCCGCCCCTCCCTGCCCCGCAGCCCTCCCGCGTTCACACTCACGGGTCGAGAAGCCCGCCGGCTTCCTCAGCACCGCTCTGCTGGGTCTGGAGGTGCTCTCCGCGGCCTCTTACCCAGCCGGAAGGAGGCCTGAGCCGCCGGCGGCGCCACGTCCCCAAGGAAACCGCAGGGAGCCAATGACTGACAGGGGACCGAGAAAGGGGCCCGCCCTCCACCCCGCCGGAGCCGAGGGCGAACCAGCTCCGTCGGCCGCACGTCCATTTGCCAGGGTGGCCAATCCCCAAGAGCACTCGGCCTTAATGCCCGCCCCAGGATTTCGAGAGCGTCCAATCCGGAAGGGCGTTGTGGCCTGGCTCCGCCTAGAGGGGCCGGCGGTGTGCTCACAGGTGAGCGGTTCCCGGCCTCCCCGGGGTGCCCTGCAGCCGCTGCCCTCTCGGCGGCGTGAGTTCTCGTCTAGCTGCTTCCAGGACAGAGCCGTTCTAGTGGGCGGGTCTGGGGGTATCCGCGACAGAAGTGAATACCTTCCCTACAGCCAACTGGAGGTTTTGTGCCCACAAACCTTGCCCGCCAGAATGGCAGTTCTCCCACCTCAAACCTTCCCCACAGCCTCCCAAAGCGATGCCCCGATTCATTGCCTTATCCCATGTGAGGAAAAAAATAAAATAAAAACATAAATTGGGGATAATGACGACTACACGGAAGTGTTTATATCCATACATTCAACATTCATTGACTGTCTACTGTGTGCCGGACATTATGAGCTGCTGCGTCCCTGCCCTCCCCGACCTTACAGTAATACATACAAAGGTAATGTTTCCTGAATGTTGTTTTTCTATCTTGCTCACACCAGCTGCTTCTCTCATTTCCAAGAGGAAGCCGCTTGGACAGGATAAAGTCTAAGTCCTTACAAACGTGGCGCGCGCGCGCGCGCGCACACACACACACACACACACACACACACACGGCCGTCCACGAACGACCTGCCCACGCAGCACCTTCTGCTGCTCCTCACCTCCCTTATGCTCCAGCAACGGACCTCTGTGGTTTGCGCCCTCTTGGGCTTTGCTCATTTTGCCTCCTTCAGCCCTCCACCTGCCTTGAATAGCCTTCCCTGCCTCTTTGCCAGGCCAGCTAGTCTTCATCCCTTATCACTGGGCTTAAGGGTCATCTCCCCTAAAAGCCTTCCGTGACCTACACTCCTTTACGGATGCCTACTGTTTCACTTACCAAACTGAATTACAATTATAGTTTTGTAAATGTTTGTCCCAATAGAGTATCCTTGAAGGCAAGGATGGGCACCGCCTGGCACATAAAATACAACTAATACATGACTTAAAAAAAAAGTAAATGAATGACCGTGAAAATAAATGACCCGGATGAGAAGAAAAAGAGGTTATTTATTCTGTGCCTGCCAAAACAAGACAGCCACTATCACTTGGCGTCTGGCACAGACTTAAAGACTGTCAGGGGAGTAGGAAAGCTTAAGGTGGAAAAACAAAAAGGGAAGATTTCATATGTGCACTGATTTGAGAGTATTGACATAGGGAAGCTGGAGGCAGGCTAACTAGAAGCAAGGCATCTTATGTGATTGTTTTGGGGGAGTATATATGGCTTTCTCCTATTGGTCTTGAGTTGGAAGGGCAGGGGCAAAAACCAGGGAAGCTGACAGTCATTGACCAGTCATCAGAGTTCTGGATAAGATCGCTGTAGAGGTTGTGGTGTAGAGTTCTAATTGTCATATGTGGTCTGGCCATTTTTAGCCAGTTTGTATTCAGTCTCTCATGACTTGCTTTTTCTCTCCATTACCCTCCCAGCCTGGCTGAGTTTCCCAATTTGCTTTTCTCCTTCAATTCTCAATTCTCTGCTCTTTCCCTCAATCCCTACTCTGCTTCAAGTGTTATGTTTTATCCAGGTCACCAGAAACCACATTGAGTAGAACAGTTGCATAAAGTTAGGGTTAACCACAAAAATATACAAATATCAGGTGTTTTTATTATTCCAGAGCCCAGTTCAGTACCTGGAACAAGGCAGACATGGAAAAAACTCAAGAAATGTTTTGGAATTTTTTTTTGAAGTTGCCTGCCAACTGTGCAGTTCTAAGTCTAATCTATATATATTTCAAACTCCAGTGTTCTACTAAATGAGTGTTTTTCAGTGGAAATAAAATTCCTATGTATGTTTTAAACAGTACTTAATTCACATGATTTACAAACTATATTAATTTAGAACTTGAAGGTGCTTTGAAACATCTAATTTACATAACTACTGTTATAAAACAGAAAAGAAACCAATATTTTAATCCCAACACTTTCTCATTATGCTTTCTTTGTCCCTTCTGGTTTGGGCAATATTTCCTTCAAAAGTCCATAAGGCCTCAGGCTTTTGTAAAGCATGATTTTTTACAGAAGCCTGTAGTGCTTATCTGATTAACAGCTTACAGGGCTGAGTTCTGAGGTTTCCAGTCAGGAGGCCAAAAAATGGGTTGAGATCATTTCTCCATCTCATTTGTTGTAATTCAACATGTTGAAACAAATTACAGAAATCCATATTTCAAAACAGGTTTTTAACTGCTTTTTAAAACTTGTTTACAATCACATTTGCAATTTTCTCAAGAAGTCCTTGACTCTACCCAGCCCTGAGCAAAATTGGTCAAACCAGTACCACTCTAGGTGTTAGTAGTCTGCATGGCTTTATTTCTCCCCATCAGTTCTCCTTCCACATTCCATCCTGCCATAGCCTCTAATGGGGCTTAATGTGGTCTTCACTCCCTCTTCCAAGTTTACTGATCTCTCTTATTGTATCTTGTAGGTACCTCATTGTCCAAGACCAAACTCACTGTTTCTCCACTTTCACCATATCCACTCAAACGTCCTCCATTCATATTCCCAGCTTTGATGAAATATCCTGTGATTCACCCAGGCAGAAATCTGCAAGTCATTCTTGAATCTATTCCCTCTACTTCCTTTCCCATTCCATCCAATTAGTCACTAGGTGTTCTTAATTCAAGTGCCTAAAATCCTCTCTAATACCTTCTGACAAAATCTTCCAACTGGTGGCCCTGCCTCCAGACCCATGCCCCTCCTGAGTGCACCTCTGTTTGACATAGTGAAATATAATCATGCTATTTCCTGTTTTAAAATCCTTCTGTGGTTTCACAACCCAATGGGATATAGTCCAAATTCCTTGGCATGGTGTGGCAGATTCTGCTGCTGCCTACCCAAAAACCCAACAATTTCTCTTCCACCTTGTTTACAGAATCCCAGTTTTATTCTAGTAAACACACTGCTATGCTTGGACATGTGCTTAAAGAGTGCTAAGCTCCAGCCTCAGCCCTAGGGAGTAAACAGTGACTGGTCTAAGTCAATCATGGTGGCCTATTCCCTTACCAAATATTGAGCCTGGACATATGATGCAGTCCAAGCCAGTGATACCAAAGGGAAGTCAACTGCTGGGAGGAATGGGAAGAGGAGGGAAAACATTTCTGGGAAAGGTTTTCTCCATCTTAAAAAGAGCATATCAATAAAAAAAGTTTACATAATGAGACAGAGAAGAGAAGGCCCCTCTTCTACCTCCAGAAGTAATCTTAAGGATACCTGGAGCTGCTGTAACCATCTTACAACCACGGGGAGAGGGGTGACAAGTCTGGGAATAACAGAATAGAAATATAGAAAAAACCTGGGTCCTTGATAACATCATTAAGCTGCGAAATTAATCAACATGGAACAGCCGTTCTTATGGTTTTATTATTTGAGATACTAAAATCATTATTGTTCTTATTTTTAAGTCAGTTTAATCAGGGGATTCTGTTACCTATAGTCTCCTAACTGATACATGTGACTCACACCGCTGATACAGTCTAGCCCCAACACCATTCAGGCTCCTCAACAGGTATTCTCACACACCACCCTGACATATTTACAGTTCTCAGAATTATGCCTTTTCCCACCTCTGAGCCTTTGAGCTCGTTATTACTTCTGCATGAATGACATTCTTTCACTTCTCTACCAATTAACTCCTACTTATCCTTCAAAACTCAGCTCAAATGTGACCTCTCTATGAGCTCCCCTAGTCAGGTGCTTAGGTGCTTCTTCTCTGCTCTTGTAGCACTTTGCTCATGCTTACATCTATTAGGGCAAGACTAATTGTTTTAAACGCTGGCATTTGTTGGAAAAAAAAAAAAGATCTAGCAGCTGTTTGAGTGAACCTGGTACCAGCTGGCCTGGTAGGAAGACAGAATATCTAGGTTTGGGGACCATAATGAGTATGCTTGGTCAGGGAAAATGGGATCCCCTGGGCTTAGTCTAGATGGGTGAGGTTAAGACCAAGAAGACTTCAGTTACTCTGCATAATAAAATACAGGAATTTTGAGCATTCCCTCTAGAGACTGGATTTGGGGAGTTCTGGTAAAGAAAAAAGAAAAAGAGATAAAAGAAAGATGAGGGACCCACACAGGTAGTGGCAGGTGGGACTGAAGAGAATGGCCCATGAGAGAGTCCCTGTATTATTTGTCTACAGTTGCATAACAAATTATCTCTCCCAGCGGGGAGGGTATAGCTCGGTGGTAGAGTGCATGCTTAGCATGAACGAGGTCCTGGGCTCAATCCTCAGTATTGCCATTAAAAATAAATAAATCAACAAACAAATAAATAAACCTAATTACTTTCCCCCACTCCACCCCCCAAAACCCCCACAAATTATCTCTCCCAGTTTCCATGGGTCGGAAAACTAGGAGCAGCTTGGGTCAGGGTCTCTCATGAGGTTGCAATCAAAATGTCAGCTGGGGTTCTAGTCATCTGAAGTCTTAACTGGCACTAAAGTATCTACTTCTAAGTTGGCATAGTTGCATGGCTGGCAAATTGATGCTGTCTGTCGGTGGAATGTCTCAGTTCCTTCTCACATGGGACTTCCCCAGGGATGCTGAGTGTCTTCATGACATGGCAGCTGGCTTCTCCCAGAGTGATGGGAGAGGGAGGGAGGGAGAGACAGAGACAGAGGCAGAGAGAGTGTGTGAGTGCCAGGTGGAAGCTTTACTTTGTTATGACCTAGCCTCAGAAGTCACATATCTTCACTTCTGCCACATATCATTTGTTAAAAGCAAGTCACTAATTCCCAATCCACATTCAAGGTTAGGGCAGTGAAGCTCCATTTTCTTTTTTTTTCTTTTCGTTTGTTTTTTGTGTTTTTTCTTTATGTTTTTGTTGTTTGTTTGCTTGTTTGTTTTTGAGGCTCCACTTTTTGAAGGGAGAAGCATCAGTTTGCAGACATATTTTAAAATCACGAGTGCCCAAGACAAAGTGGTCAGGGAAATTTCAGATAACAGCATTGACATCTACAGTTCGATTTTGAGTTCTATACTACATTATAATCTCCTCCACTACCCCAAACTTTCAGTAAAAGTCTGGTAACACTATAGCCGTGTGTTGAAGTACCTTGAGAAAGGCATAGCAGTGCAAAAAGATGACAGCAAAAGTAGGACATGAGTTAACAAGTAGAATAATTGAAAACTTGACAAACGTAGGAAACCAATGCCACAGGTCATTTGGAGAAATGAAAGGTCACTCTTCAGAGATGCCAGCTGGGGAGGTGGGGTGCAGTATGGCAAACTTTAAAATGCCCGTAGTACTTGAGATGGAGTCCTGGGGAGAAGGGTATTGATCCCCTTCTCTTGGTATCCATTCTGATTTTATGTGGGTGTGGGTGCCTTCCCCATGCGTAGCCCATGTGTATTTGAGGATGCTGACCCCACCCTGGCTCTAGAAGTGTGACATGCAAGCCAGGTCTAAGGTATTGGGCCAAACCCCATCTCTTGGCCACAGCTATTTTTTCAGGAGTGGACATCCAGCCCAATTCCAGATAAAGAGACAAAATTTCTGGGGCAAATAAAAAATCATTTGCTTTTCTTAGACAGTGTATGAGGGAGATGTTCTCTCTCACTCTCTCTCTCTCTACCCCCTGCTCCCTAAATTCTTGATGACATGGGTAAGCTACTGAGTCAAATGAAACTCAAGTTCCATTCTATCACTGGATAGCCAATTATTTGAGCTAATAAATATCTTATATTTTTAAATATAAAGTTTAAGTTTAAGTCAGTATGAAATGGGTACCATTATTTCAATTTTTTGTATGTTTGACAATTTTCACAACTAAAATCTAGGGGGAAAAACTACATTAGATATTGTGTTTTCAATTACCAGCCTGGCAAAGATTAAAATGTTTGATGACACACTATGTTAATAAAGGAGTAAAAAATCACTCCATTCTTCCAAATATTCAGGCCCTAAATCTTGGAGTTATTCTTAATCCTTTTCTTGCTCCCGTACCCCCATTCAGTCCATAAGCAAAGCCCGTCAGCATTACCTTACAAATGTTTCCAGAAGCCAGTCATTTCTCACTAACCTCACTGCTACCACCCTGGTCTAAACTATTATCATTTCTTACTGAATTATTGGAGTAGCCTCCTACCTGGTCTTTCTCCCTCTACCCTTGCCCTCAATAGTCTATTCTGAACACATGATCAGTGGGATCCTTTCAAGCATAAGCCAGATCATGGCACTCCTCCAAACTCTCTAGTGGCTTCTCATCTTGGAGGAAAAGCCCTAATCATAACCTACAACTCACATATCTCTTACCTCTCTAACCTCATTTCTCAGTCATTCCCTTCACTGACTTTACTCCAGCCACAGGACCCTCCTTACTGTTTCTAGAACATGACAGGCTCTCTCTTGATTTAAGTTTTTTATAATTGGTGTTACATCTGCCAGAGTTTTTATACATCTGTTCTCCTTACCAGTCAGTGCTTTGGATCCTTACGTACTTCAGTCTTTATTAAAATATTAACTTCTCAGTGAGACTCCCCCAACCACCCTATTTAAAATCATAACTGTCCTTCCCACTCACACTTTCTATATCACCATTTTCCTTGCTATATCACCATTTTACATACAATATGTTTTATTGTCTATCTTCCTGCAATTAGAATATAAGCTCCATCAGAGCAGAAATTTGACCCTAAAACTAAATCAGGAAGCTTTTCATGTACTGATATAAGAAGATCTCAGAGAAATATTGTTAAATAAAAAACTGACAGCCAACAAGAAAAACTTCATATCACATATGAAAATTAACTTGAAATAGGTCCTAGTCCTAAATGTAAGTGCTAAGTCTATAAAACTTGTAAAAGAAAAAACAGGAGAAAATAATCTTTGTGGTCTTGGCTTCGAAAAAATTTCTTGGATTCAACAACAAAAGAACAATATATGAAATAAAAACTTAATTGATCTTCATCAGAACTAAAATTTATTCTTCGAGAGACACTGTGAGAAAAAGGAAAAGATGGGCCACACACTGGGAGAGAAAATATTTGCAAATAACATACCCAGTAAAGGACTAGTATCTAGAATATAAAAACAATCCTCAAAACTGAATAATAAGAAAACAAACCCAGTTATAAATGTCCCAAAGATTTAGACACTTCACCAAAAAAAGATATACAGATGACAAATAAGCAATCAAGGTGTTCAACATCATTAGTCACTAGGGCTATGCAAATTAGAATTACAAGATGTTACTATATACCCACTAATATGACTATAATCAAAAAGACAGACAATAATTTGCTAGGGATGTGGTACCATGTGCTACTATGTCATTAAGACCCCGGTCAAGCCTTCAGATAACTGCAGCCACATTTAACATCTTGACTGCAACTTCATGCAATACCCTAAGCCATAACCACTCATCTAAGCCACAAATTCCTCACTCACAGAAACCAATAATGAATGTTTACTGTTGTTCTAAGCCATGATGTTTTGTAGTAATTTGTTCATGGAGCAGTAGATAACTAATACACAACCAAATAGGATTAAAAGAAATAATATATACCTTGGCTGGCACATAGTAAGTCCTTCATAAAAGTTTGCTGTTATTATTGTTGTTGTGTAATGCATGATGCCTTTTCACCAGCGATTGCAAGTTTCTTGACAAGGACTGCCACTTATTCCTCTTTCTGCACTCTCTACCTCTCCTCATTCCTCACAGCCCCTTAGCACAGTGCTGGGCACACATATGACAGAAGCCCATTAAGCAACTCTCAAAGGGAGGGAATTAAATCCAAAAGCAAAACAATTTACCTCTGTCACTGCAGGCATAACTTTCCACTTCTTAAAATATTTGATTATTTCTTTTGGTGCAGTTAATGTAAATGCCAAGACTTTTATATGCTAGTTTGTCATGAGTAAGCCTCTAAAGGCAAGAAAGACCAACTGGTGAAGAGGAAAAACTTGGTTGATTAAAAGGAGGCAATGAAGAAATGAGCATTGAATAAGGCAGAAGACAAGGTAAGAGGGTCAGGGATGTATCTGTAGTTAAAAATAGTAAGAAAAAAATGTAGTAAAAAGAGTAAAAAATGGACCTGGAGAACTGCCAGTGAAATCACACATATAATTCAGGGCTGCAAGGTTCATGGATTTGAGGCCCACATCTGCTGTTTTTGCTAATGATGATGTTTTTATTGTTGATAATGTTTGCTGCCTCCATAACTGACTGGTTGCTTTGAGAATACATCTCATATTTATAAAGGATTCAGTACCACAGAGCATTAAAAATACATCACATCAACTTAGATAAATAACCCAAGTCTCATCCCCTGCAGATGGCTTATCTTCTTTGTATGTCAAGGACAACAGACTATTACATTCTTTGATAATATTCAAGGAAAGTTTTGCAATTCCAGCAAATTTAATGAAGAAATTTAAAATGTTTAAATCTATTTTTATGATACAAAGTTCATACAATAAGTCAGGTCACACATGGCATGGATCTGAAATAAGGATATTATGGTTAAGAGAAAAGAAGGCTTACTTGTGAAACATCCCAAATTTGATGCTCTGGTCTGGTAACAGGTTGATTGTACAAATAAGCAACGGACAGTAACTAGTTATGGGCATCTTCTTTCTTGACTGGCAGTTAGATAACATGATGCCGTTGATTTCTGCAATGGGTAGATAGACAGTCATAAAGAAAAACAGATAACAATAGTTATGATAATAGTACTAGTAACCGACATTTGTTGAGTTCTAACTCTATGCTTGATAGTATAGTAAGAACTTAACACTCTATTTCTGATTGAATCCTCAAACTATCCAATGAAGTTACATTATTACCATTATCATTTCATAAATGAAGTAATGGAAGCTTGGATGAGTCATGAAACTTCAGCTACCCTGTGCTACCCTCCTCCTTCTCCTTTTCTGACCATCAGGACTGAGGCAACAGCAGGATGAATCAGAGATAAGGCTTGGAAAATGCAGAGTCCCATGCCTCCCTCCCAGAGGTATGATTTGATAGGTCTAAGACAGGGTCTAGAAATTTGCATGTCTAACAGTCCTCTGGGTGCCTTGAGAACCACTGGTAAGAAAGAAAGGAAGAAAAGAAAGGAAAGGAGAGGAAGAAACTAATTCGTAGTCTCACTACCTTTTAGTAAACTCTTACAAAGTAGTGATGGGGCTCTCTTTCCAGTCCTAGTTTCTGAACTCACTGTAGGACTTGTTGCTTCCAAGACAGCTTCCCAGAATCAAGGCGATGGTTAGGATAGGAATGAGTTTTGCTAGCACCCTGTTGGGTAGCATCCCTGGTTACAACTGCAGGACACCTGAGAGGGTTAGGCCTTGGGTTGGGGGGAGGGGATGAAGGAACTGGAACTTACTGGATGAGTTATTGCCACCACCTAAGGGGAGAATTACCGGCTCAGGCCCAAGACCCACGAGTGTCTCATTTATTATTTATTTATTCAAATAAACTTTACCAAATACTTACACTGTTCCAGGTACTATGTTACTCTGGAAATGTAATTGTACGGGGGAAAAAGAAAGTAAAAAAGATACTTCTTCCTGATGGGGCTTACCATCTACCAGTGATATAGTTATTAATGAAATAATTTTATAAACACATGCAAAATTACAATTATCTAAACTCTACCAAATAGAGGACCTGAGACATGTGATGGGGGAACTGATCAAGTCAGGAGGATCAGGGAAATAATAATTGAATTGGGATATGAAAGCAAAATAACTATAAATAAAATTATGATGAATATCTGCCTGCATAAAAAGTAAAATTTTATTGGACTGTACCTCTTAATAGATGGATGGGGGCTTTAAAAACATTTTAAATTACATCATGGATAACTTTTTGGTAAAGTGAGATAGAGTTCACCACCCATTCTATTCCTGTTTTTTGTTATTATGGGTAGATACCAAAGAACCTTTTTACACAAATAAATGAGTGGATGGAATTTTGCCAAATCTTTCTCACAATTTTTCCATCCCCTTAAAATTTATTTAAGGATTAGAAACCATCTCATTTGCAAAAGGATGTGTTACTCATTGGAGTAATCATTTTCTCATTCTCTGGAAATAACCCCCAAAAGGCTTATCAAGTGATGATTAATTGTTCTTATTTCTCTTTAGCTTAGAGGTATTTTGGTTTTGGAGCTAAAAACCCCCTTAAAAATGTGTGTTTCATGATTTTTCTTGTTGTGACCAAAGACCAATTTCAAGTATTTATGTCATGTTAAAATGCCATAAGAAGACATTACAGATGGGCAGAAATTGGTATAATAAAAATATTATATACAGGTTTATAATTTCATTTCAAGATTTAAACTGTAAGTTTAAAATCATACATCTGTCAGAATTAAAAGAATATGTCACCATCTAAGATGGAAATACTAAATTCTAATTAAATGAAACGGTTTCCTAAAGTTTCAGGTGTTATATCTTAGATTCTATTTTGGGAACACTTTTATCTTAACAGGTACATAAGTAGATGCTTTTAAGAGTGTAGTTTTATCTACTTTGTGGAAAAAACAGCAAAAAGAAGAGAAGGTATTATATGACTAGTAGGTAACGGGTTTACAAAATGGTGTAAAAATAATTATTTAGGGGGGGTCACTTATGCAGCTTATGACAAGTTTCTGTCAAGGCAATAAGGATATAATGGTAACACATAAATGAAGGGGAAATGAGTGGCAGTGAGGAAACTTGTGCCCAAATAATAATAAATATGGATTTACCAAATCAAATAATATTTTTCTGTGTCTGTTTCAACTCAATTTGAGTATGAAATGAACTGAAACTTCTTACTAGACAAGAACTGGTAAAACTAATTTTTTCAGATTTTTGCCTGTGAGCCAGAGATAACATTATGCTTGTTTCTTAGACTGATCAAAAGTAGTGATTTCCCTTGTTTTGCCTTTTTTTGCTTTTAGAAATAAGATCCTTTAGAAGAAATATTAAAAAACAAAAACCAAAAAAAAAAAATGTGGTGTGATTACCATCACCTGAAAAAAAAATGTTCAAAGGGAAACAGTTTATTGCTTAAAGGATGATGCAACCAAAGTTCCAAAAGAAGATGCCCTTTTGGTTGTTTGGCTACTTGGAGGTTTCTACGCACCTGTCATACAAATTATAACAAGATGAAGGACGGGTGAAGGCACACTTGTCCTACATAAGGTGGGAAGACAGATTGGGAAACAGGAGGAAGGAAAGGAGTGCTGTCTCATCTGCTTTCTCAGGACGATGAGTTTTAGAAAAGATGCAGAAGATGAGGAACAATAAATTGACTCACTTAAATTTTTCCCCACAACCCCCTTGGAAAGTCTTCCTGTACACACCTGCCAGCTTGAAATTGCTAAAATATATAATGATCTCTTTTCACGCCTTCAGTCCTTACTGATTGCCCCCTCTCTGAATTCCTACAGCTCTTATGGTCTATTTTAGATAATTCAGGAATCAATTTCTCTTTAAGTGATTGTAAAAAGAAATCAGTCTTATTTTCATGTGTGGCTGCCAGACTCAGTCTCATTCTATATTATATTCATACCTCATGCCCGGTCATGTACAATGAGAATTCATGGAAACAGGATAATGTAAGCTGGAAGAAGTAGTGGAACCTGTTTTGGACCTTCAAGAATGAGATTTTAATAAGGACAAAAGGAGAAATCCATTCTAGGAAA